CAGCTTGCACAGTGCATCCCCTCAGCATGCAATCAATGCCCTGCTTGAGTACTATGCAAGTGTATGTAACGTTATGGTTTGCATGCCGGGCATACCTACTTGCTGCATGTGTAGAGCATAAAGACTTAGTCACATGACCTAGCATGGGGACTGGCATTAGTGCTGACCCGAATTTGCTAGCAATTCTTCTAGCAAAATATCGAAGAATTTTGAAAGGGAATTTGCTGGCAAAATGGAGCAAAATATCGGTGTGTTGGCTGGGAATTGGGAGATTTTACACATATACGGTGCACATGACTCATTTCGGCACAATTTTACCAACACGTGACTCACTTTTTCTCATTTTTGCCAACACGTAACCCACTTTCGGTCAGTTTTCTCACACGTGACACAAATTTTGGAGCAAAAAGGGAGCAAAATATCGAGTGGCCTAGCAAAATGAAAGCAAAATTTCGACGATGCACGAGCAAAATTATGCCGCAAAATATCGAGATTCAGCTGGCAAATTCGGGTCAGCACTAACTGGCATGCATTGGCATGGGAACTGTCACATGACCTAGCATGGGAACTATCACATGACCTAGCATGGGAACTATCACATGACCTAGCATGGGAACTGTCACATGACCTGGCATGGAGACTGGCATGTGCATGTGCTGAGCACTCACTCTCCTGTGCAGTGTTGAATGTGTCCCATTGAGCACCCTCACCACTGCAGGGTGGGGTGTTACCTATGCTACAGTATTGTGTTTGTTTTCCCAGTTTCTCATGCATTGGTTGTATTTGACTGCTTCTGTTGTTTTTCTTGGCCAATCTAGCGCACGCCAGGGTGCAAATGACGATCCCAGCGTCAAGTTTGTCCAGCAGCAGTCCTACGAGGACGAACTGATCGAACGTGTTCGGGTTGTCCACGACGCCTTGGCTGAGGATGCAGACAGGGTGAGTGTATGGGCGTGTGTGTGTGTGTGTGTGCGTGCGTGCGTGTGCGTGCGTGTGTGTGTGTGAGCGTATGTGTGTGCATGCGTATTGACGTATGTATATTGTATTTTTTTAAGTGTTCATTTGCGTTGTAAACTGTACAAATGAAGGAGAATTGATTTTTTTCACCACGACTTTGGCTAAAGCAGCCATGCAGCTCTTCACTGAGGTTTGTACTCGCGTTGTTCTCTCTTTGATTTCCTGTTTGTTGTCTTAGATCTGTGACCGCTGGGACCGGCAGAGTTATCTGGAGGACAATGAGATCGAACCGGCACCCAGCAAGGTACTGTGCCAGTGTGCGGCCAGTGTACGGAAATGTCAGATTTTCTTCTCCCGTAGAATTTTCCACCTTGTTTCTCCTTCCTCAAGCAGAAACAACAAGAGTTCAGCCGGCATCAGCAAGCCAAGAAGAAAAGCACTTGCTGAACTCTGATTGGCTGAGGGCGGTTGACCAATCATTTCGGGTGTGGAGTTCAGAGCCAGGATAGGCTGTGACAGTGCAGACCGGCACTCACCCACACTATCACACAACTTGATATCATTCACATCCATTGTAATTTGTAAATGACGCCAATCCACCCCGGAATCACGGCTACCATTCTGCTTCAGGGTTTGCGAAGGCCGAGTGTTCCGTTTTTCTTGTGTCCGGTTTTGCCGTCACCGTCTCTGCCTTGGCTTCGGTGGCTGCTGCTGCCTCCGCCGCCGCCATTGTCCCTGTTGAAGCTCAGTTTGCTCTAGCTGTTGTTGCAATTGTTGGTGTTGCTGTTGTAACTGTTGCTGTTGCTTTTGCTGCAATGGCTGCAGTGGTGTCTATTGTTGTTACAGTTATTGTTGTTGTTGCAATGGTTGTTGAATTGGCTATTCTGGGTGACTGTCCTACAGGAGCAGATCCGTGCCCTGTTTGACTTGGTGCTTGGGTTCATTGAGCACTCCGACTACAACACCCTCTACGCTAAACTGAGTAAGGCCTGATAGCTCTGTTGCTGCTGCTGCTGCTGCTGCTGCTGCCGCTGCTGCTGCTGCTGCCGCCGCTGCTGCTGCTGCTGCTGCTGCTGCTGCCGCTGCTGCTGCTGCCGCTGCCGCTGCCGCTGCTGCTGCCGCTGCCGCTGCCGCTGCTGCTGCTGCTGCTGCTCTGCACCTACCCATCACTACAGTCATGCTGTGTGTGAGTTTAGATTACTCTACCCCATGCCCCAGTGTGCAGCCGTGTGCATGCATGCATCTCTCCTCCATGCATGGCATATGGAGCAGTCTCCTCCATTCCACACATGTGCACACACACACGCACACACATGCACGTACGCACGCACGCACATGCACACGCACACACACACACACACACACACACACACACACACACACACACACACATTTTCACATGCACGCACATACACACACACGCACACACACTCTCTCTCTATTTTCACGTGCACGCACACTTACATGTAATGTACCTGGATGAACATCTCTTTCCTACATGACCTGCGAGCTGTACTCCACAAGCCCCGGACTACTGGCTACTACAGTCCATTCATTGGAAACTGGCACCCTAACTTTTTCGTGTCTCCCACACATATTTATCAACCATAAGTACAGCTGCAGTGGTGTCTTCGACTTCATTCTCCCACACATAGTTGTAGATATCGTGAAACCAAGAGTACATCCTGCATTGTGTGACCCGTGCAATTACTCCTTGCCACATTTGAGGCCAGAAAAGTCCAAGAACAGGGAAATAGAAATTCGGCCAGGTTTTACAAAATTGGGACAGGTATGCCATGGCAAAATGTATGGAGAAGCAGATCCAAAGCCCAGATTTTTGAGATTTAAAGTGTGTTTTTGATCCTCAATTCGGCTCAAATCAGACTTTCAAAAGCCAGCGGGCCAGTTTCCGATGAATGGACTGTAGTAATTTTTGAACTAGGCTGACATTATTTCATCCCTGTTATTCTTTATCCTTTGTTCTCACGATGGCGACTCCCCTCATTACGAGCTGTTGGTCCTGTTGTTGCTGCTGCTATGTTTATATAGAGGAAATGCGGGATGATATCAATGGCGGCCATTTTTTTCTTTGTGCGTTGGAGACGTCGTTGGGCCGCTTTACCGATGCTGTAAGTTGATGTTCTGCTGTAGCAATGGTAGGGGAACTTCCCTGATGTTCATTGTGTACTGGGGTACATTTATTTTAGTTTATTTATTTATTTCTGCACCTCGGAGCATGTCAAGACAGCCGATTGAATTTAGGAGAGGGTGAGACCAACCACGGAAGAAGGGAAAAAGAAAGAAAAGAAAAGCACGTACACAAAAACATGTAGCTGGGTGTGATCTGCTGTTGTCATTCGTTGCTGCTGCTGCTGCTGCTGTTCCTGCTGGTATTCCTGCTGTTGCTGCTGCTGTTCCTGCTGGTATTCCTGCTGTTGCTGCTGCTGCTGCTGCTGCTGGTGCCGATGCTGTTGGTGTGTTCCTACCTGTGTATTTCTAAGTGGTTTTCAGCCTACAGGCAATGCCAACATGTCATGTTGTGGTGTGTTGTTCTTGCGCATGCTGTCTCTGGCGATATTGCCGCTAGATCCAAGAGACGGTGAGGGCTCAGCCACATCCTCTTCACTGGAGGTTCAGCTTCGACGCGTTTGCAAAGGAGGCGTGCAGTGCAGTGTGCTGCTGCTTGAAGGGCCGTAAGTGTTCTCGCGCAGGCGTGTGCCACTAGTGCATGCAGGCAAAGCTGCTGAGGACGCACACATTGCTGCTCTATGAAATCTGATGGAAAGTATGCGCCGTGTGTTGTACAGCCCTGGACTTGTGCACACTGGGCTGCGGAAGGGTGCAGGGCACAAACTAGACTCGCGCGGTCGGATTTCATTAAGCAGCTCAGCACATGTATACAACCATGTTGGAGGCGATGATGACGGATGTATCTTATGCTGCTGTTCTTGATGCTGCTGCTGCTCTTGATGCTGCAGATGCCTGCGTGCCTTGCTTATCGTGTACGTGTGTATGCTGCTGTCTTTCTTTTTATTACTTTGCTGCAGTTGACCCGCAACTTGTTGAAGCGCGAGGCGGCTTTACTCGTTCTCTCCCGCCACCTCGGAAAGCGGATGAAGAACCAGCGGCAGCAGCAGAAACGGAGGCAGAGAAAAAGGAGAGGAGAGAGAGGGAGAAGAAGGAGAGGAAAAAGAGGGAGAAGAAGGAGAGGAAAGAGAGGAAGAAGAAGAGAAAGGAGAAGAAGGAGAAGGAAGACAAGTAAGTGTTGCAAGTGAATAGAAATCTCTTGAGGTAGTAATGGCTATGCACACACACGCGCACGCGCACACACACACAACAATACAATACAACACAATACAATATGCCCATCCGGAGATGATAGCAGGTCCCGAAGGGCCAGCAGTGTTCAAAGTCACGAGCAGAATCGGGTGTGGCGAGTCAAGTCCTGGCGACGGCGATAGCGCTTTCCACAAGTGCAAACGAAGTCTAAGGTGACTGGCTCGGTCGGAGGAATGGTGCTGCATGCTGATCTCCACTCCACTCTGTGTGTGTGTGTGTGTGTGTGTGTGTGTGTGTGTGTGTGTGTGTGTGTGTGTGTGTGTGTGTGTGTGTGTGTGTGTGTGTGTGTGTGTGCATGTGTCTGTGTGTGTGCGCGTGTGTGTGCATGCGGTTGTGTGTGTGTGTGTGTGTGTGTGTGTGTGTGTGTGTGTGTGTGTGTGTGTGTGTGCGTGGGGGGGGGGGGGGGGCGTGTGTGTGCGTGTATGCATATTGGTGTGTATGCGTTGTGGGTGGGTCTATGTGTGTGTGTGTGTGTGTGTGTGTGTGTGTGTGTGTGTGTGTGTGTGTGTGTGTGTGTGTGTGTGTGTGTGTGTGCACGTACGTGTGTTTGTGGTGTGTATATGTGCACAGAGAGCAAAAGACGGAAGGCCTGGAGGGTCATGTAGCCACCCTGGTGGCCATGCAGTCGGTGTTGGCATCTCAGGTGGAGATAGTACGCTCCCTCAGTGAAGGAGCTGCTGCTGCTTTTGCTTCTGCTGCTGCTCCTTCTGCTGATGTTGCTGCTTCCGGTGATGTTGCTGATGATAGCTCAATTTCTTCTGCTGCCTCTGCCAGTGCATCGGCTGATGTCTCTTCCGTCTCCTCAGCTGACACCTCTCTTAGTGCCTCAGAAAATGTCTCCCTCAGTTCCTCAGCTGGTGCATCTCCCATTGCCTCGGCTGGTGCCTTTCCCAGTGCCTCGGCTGGCTGTGTGTAAGTACCCTGGTCGGTATTCACATCAGCAAGTCGGCTATGCTGGGTGTGGATGATGTCATAGCTATGCTGGGTGTGGATGATGGCATAGCTATGCTGGGTGTGGATGATGTCATAGCCATGCTGGGTGTATGGATGATGTTCAGGTTGTGGCTTGCATGATCCTGCTCACGGTCTGTTTCTGTATTTTTTTAAGTTCTTTAAAATGACTTTTTTACGCTGCTGTGCGCATTGCCATCACCGAATGTGTAGCCGGAGTTTTTTTAGCGTGTGTGTGTGTGTGTGTGTGTGCATGTGCGTACGTGTGTGTGTATATTATGTGTGTGCACGTGTGTGCACGTATGTGTTTCTGTTGCTGCATGTCTGTGATGGAGCAGGCGACAACCCGGTACGCCAACGCAAGGTGAGTATTGCCGGTGGTACAGCATGATTGTCTGCGTTTCCCTTTCTCACTCATTGCTCCCCGTAACACTTGCCTATGCAGGCGGGCCGTAACACTTGCCTATGCAGGTGTGTAATTCTCGTGTATAGTCAGAGTAGTCCGGTCAGCACACCAGCAAACGACCTAGTCCTACACGTACTGCAGAGTGGGAATAGGCAAACATGGAAACCATAACTAGGTTGCCGGTGGTACAAGGTCACCGCACCACTGTGGCACAGATGTGCTCTGGAACATGGTCACCACACCACTGTGGCACAGATGTGTGCTCTGGAACAAGGTCACCGCACCACTGTGGCACAGATGTGCTCTGGAACATGGTCACCACACCACTGTGGCACAGATGTGCTCTGGCATCTGGTCACCACACCACAGAATGATGTGAGAGCTACGCTCCTGAATACGCTGCATACCAATACTGGCCGGCGGCACTGACCAATACTAACCATTAGAGAGTCTACCCAGTCATCGCCGGGCTAGCTGGCTGCCAATGTAACAACACGTTCCCCATCCCTATGACAAAATGTGTGGAGAAGCAGATCCAAAACCCATATTTTTCAGTTTTCAGTGGGTTTTGAGCCTCAATTCGGCCAAAATTGGGTTTCAACAGCCGGCAGGACTAGTTAGGATGAATGGAGTGTATGGAGTGTAATCTCAGTGGATGGAGTGTAATCTCAGTGGATGGAGTGTATGGAGTGCATGGAGTGCATGGAGTGTGTGGAGTGTATGGAGTGCATGGAGTGTATGGAGTGCATGGAGTGTATGGAGTGCATGGAGTGTATGGAGTGCATGGAGTGTATGGAGTGCATGGAGTGTATGGAGTGCATGGAGTGGGTGGAGTGCATGGAGTGGGTGGAGTGCATGGAGTGGGTGGAGTGCATGGAGTGCATGGAGTGGGTGGAGTGCATGGAGTGCATGGAGTGCATGGAGTGTATGGAGTGCATGGAGTGTATGGAGTGCATGGAGTGTATGGAGTGCATGAGTGTATGGAGTGCATGGAGGGTATGTGTGACTGGTTTACACGTAAGAGAAAGGTGACTCAGAAAGAAGAGCAGTATTGTCAGTCCCGTGATCAGTCCTGTATTTGTATTTGTATTTGTATTTGTATTTGTATTTGTATTTATGGATTCTCCACAGGCCTTAGCCTAAATCGAGGGAGTCTCCGTCCCTCTGTGCAAAGGCCCAGTCACTTTCCTCTTATGTGTTGCTTTTTTTACGGGAATCGAATGCCCGTTTATGATCGTTATGGTTGCCAATTACATCTGACGTCGGTCAGTGTCGTGCTGTGTTATCGCATGAGCTGATTGTTAAGTTACTGGTGGTATTGGTGGACATTATAGCGTAATTTGTAGTTCCTTGGTCCTTTTTTCTTTTCTATAAATTACATCTTAGCTCTGATCTTCTCGTAGGCAGTGGATAACGTATGGACAGAAGTGCTTTTGCCGAATTTTGCAAGTGCTGGAATGGTGTTGCAGTGTGCTGTCTGTTGTCATCGTAAACTGGAGGCAGGTAACATGTTAAAGTGTGATATCAGTCTTATCACCTTATATGGTATTGTGTATCCATGTGTGTGCATGTGTGTGCATGTGTGTGCATGTGTGTGTTTGTTGTGTGCGTGCGTGTGTTTGTCGTGTGCGTGGGTGTGTTTGTTGTGCGTGCGTGTGTTTGTTGTGTGTTTGCGCAAACGCAGACAAGCATGTTCTATTCGCAGATGAGCAGCTGGAGAGAAGAGTAGTGCCGAGCTCCGGTCTGGACTCGGACCTGCAGCAGTGGTTGGTGCAACACGACGTGGGACAAGAAGTATTCAATGCAGTAAGTACTGGCTCTGACCACACTGAACTCGTTATACTGTGTACTGTGTACCCTTGCAGTCCCATCAGGTATTTAGTACAGCGTCTGTCATGAGGAACGTTTTATAGTTTTATACTCCTGGGCCTTTCTCATTTTCTGTGCGATGTGTGTGTGCGTGTGCTTGTGCATGTATTTGTCTGTATGCTGCTGCCATTGTTTGCGCCCTGGCTGCAGTTTTCCTTTCATGAGCTGACCCTGAGAGACGTTCTGTCCTGTATGAAGCGATCTGATCTCGACGCCATGGATCTGCGGTAAGTCCCTTCTCAGTTCTGTGACCTCATGCCATGTACTGCTTGTGTGCGTACTGTGTGCATACCGCACATTACCACGTATTCAGCGCCATATCCTGACGTTGCATACGGCATGCGTGCCCACATGTTCTTTGCTGCATACTCAGTACTTGCACACACACACACACACACACACACACACACACACACACACACACACACACACACACACACACACACACACACACACACACACACACACACACACACACACACACACACACACACACACACGCACACACACACGCGCGCGCGCGCACATGCACACACCCACGCACACACCCACACGCACGCACACGCACACGCACACACCTTCCTTCCTTCCTTCTTCCACTGCCATGACTGGCTATGTGGCCCCATACGGGGCAGACCAGGAGACGTGTTGTCCACCGGGCGGGGACGCCATACTCAGCGCGCGCGGGCCGCGCGAACAGCGATACACTTGTGCCTCGCAATATCCTGCGGCCGACGAAAACTGCGCGCACAAGTGCCACAGATGAGGGGCTTCGCCACAGGCTCCATGCGGGACTGGACAATAGCGTCGACAGCATCACGGCAGGTGACCCGCCATCCCTGTCGATCTTGGACGATGTCACCAAGCTGCTCCAGAGGAACGCCAACAGCCATCAAGTCGCACTTCGCGGAGTCCTTCCAGCGCTTACGGGGTCCATGCGGTGGACGTTTGGAGGGTAATGCGCCGTACAGCAGCTGACGAGGGATCCGATCTGGCATGCGGGACACGTGGCCAAGCCATCGAAGTCGGCGGACTCTGACTTTATCCGCGATCTCCTCCATATCGCCCCACATCCTGCGAACCTGGAGAGAGGAGATGTGCTCCTCGATCTGCCGGCCACGATTTATCTTCAGGATGGAACGCACGCACTGCAGGTGAAAGGACTCCAGGCGACGGACATCACGCTGCCTGACGGTCCAACTCTCAGATCCATAAAGAAGGACCGCCAGGACAGTCACTCCATACACGATGCGCTTGATGGCGATGCTGAAGTCATCACTGGCGAAAACCGACTCCCGCAGTGTACAGAACGCACCCGATGCAGCAGCAACTCGCCGAGACACATCAAATGAGCTCCGGGCGTCTGGCGTAACATGACAACCGAGATAGCGAAAGGCCTCAACGTGGTCAACAACACCATCCAAAGGGGTCTGGTCGGCATCCACAATACCAGCCCCAGCCGCCATGAATTTGGTCTTGGACATATTGACACTAAGGCCAAACGCACCAGCTACATCCCTGAACGAGGATAGAGCCCTCTCAGCACCAGCATGCGTAACTGCGAGCAAGGCTGAATCATCCGCAAACTGACACTCCGTCAGCCGAACTCTGCGATACTCTGCCAATCTGGTGTTGAAAAGCCGCTCCCTCCGAAACTGGACGAGTGGGATCCCCAGCTCACCATCATCAGCAATCACGCCACGCCATCTCTCGAAGACTGCACACATGTATAGGTTAAACAAAACTGGGGCCATAGTACAACCCTGCCGCAAGCCATTCTCAACCCGAATCGGTGCAAGCAGGTCTCCACCCACACGAATACTGGCAGTCATGTCGCTATGGAAGGAACTGATGATGGTGATCAGATTCCCTGGGACGCCAAGTCTAGCCAACACTCTCCACATAGCACTCCGCGGAACCGAGTCGTACGCTTTCTTCAGATCGATAAATACAGCGAAACCTTTCGTGGCATGTTCGTGCAACTTTTCCAGGATCTGCCGCACAGCAAACACCATATCCGAACAACCACGGCCCCTGCGGAAACCACACTGCGAGTCAGGCAAGCACCTTTCTCCGAGAACCTGCAGACGATTGGCAATCATGCGAGCAACTAGCTTTCCAGCCACATCCAGTAACGATATCCCACGCCAGTTGTCGCAAGACCCCAGGTCACCCTTCTTGGGGATGGGGACGAGGATAGCATCAGACCAATCCTGTGGAACGCTGCCAGTCTCCCACACCACCCGTATCAGTTCATGCAACCTCGCAATCAGGGTAGGGCCGCCGTACTTCAGCATCTCCACAGATATCTCGGATCCGCCGCATGCCTTGCCACACTTCATCCCTCGCAATGCACGCCAAATCTCATCACACTCAGGCACGACACCAAGCTCCGTCATAACCGGCCGCTGCTCGATCGAATCCACTACCTCCAAGTCGTAAGCACTGGCAATGTTCAGAAGGCCATCGAAATGTTCACGCCACCTTCCACCGGTGGCCTCTGCCGTGTCACAGATCTCTCCTTGCTTGTTTCTGATAGCAGTTGCTGCACGGGGACGCATACCACCCAAGGTGGTCTTAATGTTACCGATACACTCCCAACCGCTCTTCGCCGTCAAGCCAAACCATTCACAATCCTTTGCCTGTCTCAGCAGCCAGTCTCGCTTCAGCCTCCGCATGGTGCACCGCGCCGCACTACGAGATTTCTTGTACAAATCCAGATCACTGGCCTTCCGCGTTGACATCCAGGTTGAGTAACAACTGTCCCGATCACGGAGTACCGACTCTATATCAGTGCGCTTGTCTGTAAACCATTCTGGCTGTCGGCGCCTCTCCCGACCCAGGCAGTCGCTGGCAACGTTGATGGTGGTCGTCCTGAGGGTACTCCACCACTCCTCGATGGACGGATTCGGGGTCCAAACCTTCTCCAGCTCAGCATCCATGCCCTTGGAGAATCTCACGCGCAACCTCCATATCCTCCGGAGCACCACTACGCAGGCGCGACACAGCAATGGGTTTCGATCGCCCAACACCATTGCGGGAGACATGTGAACTGGGCAAGGCACCTAGACGATATTTCATGCCTAGAAACTTATGGTCAGTGTCGCATTCCGCATTACGTATTACTTGGCAGTCCAAACACTGCGACCGATGTGCCTGTGGTATGATGCAATAATCAATACAGTGCGGGTGCTTGTAGCGTGGATGAAACCAGGTATGTTTATGGATTTCCTTCTTCTTGAATAATGTGTTGCATACAACAGCTCCATTTCGTGCCAAGAAATGAGCAGCTCCTCTCCTGCTGAGTTCATACGACCAAAACCATGCTGCCCCCGCACGTCACTCCACTCATCATCCACCTCGCCAACTCCAACTCTAGCATTGAAGTCACCAAGAATGCAATACTGGTCTGACTTTGGAACGCTGTCAATGAAGGTCTGCAAGCTGTCATAAAACGCAGTTTTTTCAGCGCGCGGTCTGGCGAACGTCGGTGCATATCCGACGGCGATGTGAATACACAACGGCGAACGGTTCCGTCCACACTCGAACTTGACCCTGGCGGAAACCAATCTCGAGCTGTGCCCCTTCCACTGCGAGCCACCGCGAACAAATGCGTCCCTGCAACGACCGCGCAATACAATTGCAACTCCTTCACCCCGCCGCGCCGACTCCCCATCAGACGGAGTCGGACGGCCACTCGCCAAGACGAGACAGTCGTCGACTTGGTAGGAATTAGTTCCAAACCAGAGGGTCTCCTGAAGTCCAACGACGTCCATACTGTAGCGCTGCAGCTGCCGGCAAACAAGATCGATTTTTCTCTCCTCGCGGAGTTGTCTTTTTGAATTTTTGATATTTTTTGAGGCAGTGTTCAAATCGCCGTCCACGTTCACCAAAGTTCTGACGTTCCACGTCCCCATGGACAACACAAATCTCCTTGCTGCTGGTGCACGTTGCGAGCCGAACTCTAAGCGGGGGTTTGCAGAGCCTCCGCGCTCAGGCGGACGAGGTTCAGTACGAGTGGTCACATCGGAAGTGACCATGGTGTCGACACTGATTTATTTCCTCGCCCGCGACGACAAGATGTACGTCGTCTTGTTCAGCGCAACCTATCTAATGCTCCTGTCACCAGGGCTGGCTCTGGCCTTGGCCAGAAGCCAGCCCGTGGCTGAAATCTACTTGCAGAAGACGGAGGAAAAAAATCCCCAACCGTCACTCAACTCAACAACTCAGAACCACACACACACACACACACACACACACACACACACACACACACACACACACACACACACACACACACACACACACCTTCCTTCCTTCGTCCACTGCCACGATTGGCTGTGTCCCCAAACGGGGCGACTTGAAGGAGTGCTGTCTTCGGGACGCGGCATGAGGCCCTGCGAATCCGGCAGGACGTGAACGGCTGTTTCGCTGTTTGTTTTTTGCTTTTGCGGAGCGACGGGAGGTGCAACTACCGTAAAGTACCGCCAGAGCGCCCCACCATCTCATCCTTTCGTGGTCGTATTGTGGAGGTGGTCTGCTGTCTGTAGGTCATACGACATGAACCTTGTACACATATTGCACGTTTTGCAGTCAATCCGTACCTTCAAGAGGACACAAGCTCCACACAAAACCCTGCCAAGTGTGACCTTAGTACACTAAGATTCTCACATCGTACACACTTCATTGCACTCTGCCATACGATTTTCCTTTCTCTGGCTGTAAAATCAAGGTGGGGCGCTCTCGCGAGACGGGGCGCTCTGACGGTACTTTACGGTATGTCTAGCGACCGCTGAAACGGCGTGTGCAGACCATACACAGGAGTGGCTTCACGGCAGGTTGTACACGAGAGCATACCACGCTGTAGACTCCATCCTGACACCTGGTTCTCCACTCAGACCTATCATCTGCTGTGTCAAGCCGCTCATTCATGCCAATGGACACCGCCGCCAGGTCATGTTTGACTGGGTCTTTCCACCTCTTCCGGGGGCCATGTGGAGGTCGTTTAGACGGCAAGGCACCAAAAAGCAGTTGGTGGGGAATACGGTCACCCATGCGAGCCAGGTGGCCCAGCCATTGGAGACGACGGCGCCGGACCTTGTCAGAGACCTGCTCCATGTCTCCCCACCACTGCCGTACCTGAAGGGTTGTCACGTGCTCGTCCATCTGGCGCGCCCGATTGATGCCCAGGACCATGCTTATAGATCGCAGGTGAAACGACTCCAGACGCTGGTGATCCCGTTGCCTCGGTGTCCAGTTCTCAGCACCATAGAGGAGTACCGCCAACACAGTGACTCCGTACACAACACGCTTGAGACCGATAGGAAACTCGGAATTCGCAAACACAGCCTTCTTCAAGGCGCCAAATGCACCCGAAGCTGCGGCGATCCTGCGAGAGACATCAAAGCTACTCCTAGCATCAGGAGTGATCTGGCAGCCAAGATAGCGAATGCTGTCCACGCATTCGACGGTTCCACCCAAAGGCAACATATCCGACGCCACCACACCAACGCCCATAGGCATGAACTTAGTTTTTCCCAGATTGACTGACAGGCCAAAAGATGCTGCAACCTCCCGAAACGTGGTTAAGGCCCTTTCAGCATCGCCGTAGGTTTTGGCGAACAGCGACGAATCGTTCGCAAACTGACACTCCGTTATAGTCGCTCTGCGACACTCTCTGAGGCGTGTATTGAACAAGCAGTCACACACACACACACACACACACACACACACACACACACACACACACACACACACACACACACACGTGCGCAATACCTTTGCCTTGAAATGTGTGTGGTCACATGCTGTGTTGGAACAGCACGAATGCACCACACCAGGGGTCAGATGTTCCACTTGTTCAATTTTTTTCATTTGAATGCCTCTCCTAAAGCAAATGGATTCTTGTTGGGGGCGTCTCCTATACAGTGAGAATACATCAGTGGAGTGTCGAGGGGAAGAGATGAACCAGAGCAACTTGGCGCTGTGCTGGTAGGGATCGAAGGTATCGAGCTCAGCACAGGCCTGACCGGAACATTGTGCTTTCCGTCGCCGTCATGGTTGTGGTGGTGTACACCAGGAGGGTGGCACTCCTTGCCCTTGGCAGACACTTCCCAGCCAACAAGAACAATTGCATGTGTTTTTTCTGTTTCTTGTGTTGGCTTTCTTAGCGTTGGTCCTAGGTGCAGGCTCTGGCACGCAATTAGCACACACCGAACAGAGGTCAAGGAAGAGCAGGCCAAGAGGAGTGCTTTGCCACGCCAAGAAGCAGCCTAATCATTCGCGCCGCAGGACCCTGCTGCCTCTTCGTCCGCACCGCAAGACGTCGCTGCCTCTTCGCCCGGGTCACGAGATCCCGCTGCCTCTGCGTCCGCCGAGCAAGGGCCCCGCCATCTCTTCCGCTACGTCTCAACCCGCGCGCAAAGTGTTTTGTTGATCGAGCTAGCTGTGTAATGGCGTGTACCTCTCTCTCTCTCTTACTCTAGCAGCAATGTCAGGTTGTCATCATCATCATCGTCATAGTGATGTGACTGGGTAACTATCATACAGCACACTAAGGTGATGTCGATGCTGTTACACCGGTACCTGGTCACCAGCGTCAATGTCAACTCAGTTCCGACTGCCCTCCACCCCTCTACATACATGCTGGATGCGGCTGACACCATTACACTGGGACTAACCTAAGAAGTACGCTCTGCCCGACATGCTCTTGTCTGTTTGCGCGCAACATGCATATGTCCGTGAGAGAACGCAGCCAGAGCCTCCCGGAAACGTCAGTGCCGGGGACTTCATTCGGTTGCGCGCTCCACTTGCCCGCGGCAATCGGGGCTAAAAGCAAATACTGTGTGTGTTATGTTTGCCTTGTAGAGCTACAAAAACTATTGTTAACGCGTGATTCATGACGCTTGAGAACCAACGTTCGTCGTGATGATCGCTTGCCTCGTTTTGTTCCACCCGAGCCAGTGACGTGTGACCAGTGTGCTTGTCCTGGACGGTGGCCGCTATGCTTCTTATGCGAGCACGGTGCTTACAATCATCGTCTATTCCTTTTATGCGTGCAAGTCATGCAACAATTTGAGCTCCATCTTGTAAAAAAAAAAGAAGAACCAGTTGTTGGCATATGACTCCTGTAAATATACTATTGTTCTCATTCTACAAGTAAATGTAGCCATGCGTATTACGGTATGGCACTGCTTTCTGTTGAAGTGTTTCTGCACGCGGTTATGACCTTCGTCATCATCAGCAGCAGTAGTAGTGACCTGCCTGCTGTTCTATCATCAGCAGCTCTGGCATGCCTGCTGTTCTATCATCAGCAGCTCTGGCATGCCTGCTGTTCTATCATCAGCAGCTCTGGCATGCCTGCTGTTCTATCATCAGCAGCTCTGGCATGCCTGCTGTTCTATCATCAGCAGCTCTGGCATGCCTGCTGTGGTATCAGCCCCTGTACATTTGTATCCCACGTTCTCCGCTTTTATATA